CTAGAAAGATTCCATTTTAATGTATCCTGTAACCATTCCAAACCAATAAGAAAAGGATGTTGAAGGAAGATTCCATTTGATGTATCCTGCAACCCATTCAAAACCAATAAGAAAAGGATGTTGAAGGAAGATTCCAATTAATGTATCCTGTAACCATTCCAAACCAATAAGAAAAGGATGTTGAAGGAAGATTCCATTTGATGTATCCTGCACCCATTCCAAACCAATAAGAAAAGGATGTTGAAGGAAGATTCCAATTAATGTATCCTGCACCCATTCCAAACCAATAAGAAAAGGATGTTGAAGGAAGATTCCAATTAATGTGTCCTGTAACCATTCAAAACCAATAAGAAAATTATGTTGAATGAAGATTCCAATTAATTTATCCTGTAACCATTCAAAACCAATAAGAAAAGGATGTTGAAGGAAGATTCCATTTAATGTATCCTGTAATCATTCAAAACCAATAAGAAAAGGATGTTGGTGGTCACATGTGTACTTGAATAAGGAAGCCAATTACGCTAATATAATAATAAGTAGGCAAATAAAGATGTATAATCATAAGTAATAGTTTTCTTGATGGTGGAACATACTACATGGTCTGTCTTCTTCAGGTATGATATTACAACTACAAGTACTGGCAAGAATTTCGATTTGAAGTCTTCTGAGGTTTTCTTTGGAAGACAATCTGGGTGCTCTGAAACTGCTGTTCCCCTTCGCCCCGCTCGAGGTTGTGGTAGGGGCAAAATCTTTGGTACAGAATTTGTTGCTAAAGTGGCTACACGTTCGGTGTTTGTTTTACAGGACGGAATAATCAAAATTCAAACAAACGGCGAATTTCGGACTTGTGGTCCTTCAGGGCGGCAGAAATCTATAAACCCAGTGTCAAAAGAATTAGACGCGGAGTGTGTGATCAGTACTAAACAATACGATGTTAATATGTTGTTACAAAGACAAAAGACACAGGGATTAAATGTACCGGAAATGGTGTCAGCAGATGACAGAATATAGGTAAAGTTCAAGTGCATGAAAGGTGAGTAGACTTTGCCAAGTTCGGCTGATGTTGCTAGAGTCATTATCACGGTTCAGTAAAAGATCGTTTGCTTTGATTATTTCTATGGTTTCTAAACAATCTCTTTCTTTTGTAGTTTTGAGTTGGTGTAGGAAAATAATTTCATCCCAAAGTATTTTGTGACCTATTTCATATTAATGGTAAGTTAAATCGGATATCTGGAATTCACCTCTACGCATGTGACCTTGGTGTCCTTTGCGGGATATTATATATGCCTTTTGTTCCTTTAGTTGTGTTTCTTTCAGGTTAGTTAGTAAGGTGTTGATTTTATGTGAAAGTTTGAATTCAGTTTTTACATCAATGATCAAATTATTAAATAGACTAGTAACTTAATTAGCAATTTCTGGCACAAGGTGTGGTGATAAAAAAATTGTTGTGTTTTATGTTGTTGATAGGTGAAAGGTTAGAGCTAACATATTTTTTACCGTTCTGAAGTTCGGTACAAGCTCTATAAATCGTTCTTTGCCTACCTGTGATCATTTAATTATATATAACATCACAACTGTAATTAAACAAACTTCTGTAATGTTCGACATTAATTTATGCATAATAAATTCTTCCACGAAGAAATATCCCAGCAGTAAGTCATTAATATAAAAGTATTCAGGTTATAGAAGATAGCATTATTTAAAAATCACGAACTTCAGTGAAACATGAACAGTTCTATTGTAAATTCAACGTACTGAGATAATGATGATAGTTGACATGCGTGTTAATAACTCAGTTTCTAAGCACTTTTCTGCCTTACTTACTCTTCTAAGTTTTAATCATTTTACTGCATTTACAAGTATATGAAAGAAATCACAAAAGATATGAAAGATAAAAACAGGGATAAATGATACAAATTTAAGAAGTTTAAATTGACAGATAGGACGAAATTTTTAGTGTACTAGAGGAAAACGAGATCTGGTTAAAATGGAAAATTAGAAAATCAAGGAGTGCTTATGAGAAAGGGTTGAATGATAATGCTCTAACTAACAGCAAGGATTTTTACAGTATGTTAAAGGTAAGTAAAATGTCAAAATGGCGATTGGGCCTCTAGAAAGATGCTAATAGCAAGGTTCTTGTTGAAGATTGTGAGGTGGTTGAGCTTCTACTTCTTCTCTTCTGTTTTTACAGAAGATATTAGGAACCTGACCCACAACATTCTACGGAAAATACTGAAGTTATCCTGAATCGTGTAGATATTAATCCTTTAGTCTGTTTGAAGTTAAGCACAAAGCTACACAATGGGCTATCTGTGCTCTGCCCACCATGGGTATAGAAACCCGGTTTCTAGCGTTGCAAGTCTGCAGACATACCGCTGTGCCACTAAAGGGGGGGGGCTAATCCCTTGGTGGTAAGTAGAAAAAAACTGAAATGTTAAAATGAACTTCATATACTCGATTTTAAAAAGTGTTTGATAAGATGTCACTCAGATTAGCTACGAAAGTCACATTGGTAGGAATTGGGGAATAACTAAAAAATTTACTTGTAGCGTGATTGGATGAGAGAAAACAAATGGAAGTTTTTTAATTGGTATCATTGATAGTGACATAACTAGTCAATTAGCCAAGTTTGCTGATAACATCTCTTAAGCAATTCTAACTGTATTAAAAATGTTGAAGTTTTACAAGTGACTTCGATCAGTTGGTAAGTTGGGCAAATATTTACGAAATTAATTATAATTATGGAGTTAGACAAATACAGACTCAACACAGGTTCTGCATACATACATACAAAAAAACCAGACCAAAGTGCAGTCTGCAATGTGGGCAAATCCTGGTGGCAGATCAACCAACACTCACCCACTGAGCGAGGCCTATTCTCACGTTCACGCGCATTAGCAAAATAATTTCACGTTTTGATCAAAATAAGTTTTCAATAACACATCGATCCATGAAAAATTTACACAGACCCATTATGCTTTATCAAATAAAAACAATTCTATGGGGAGAATTCCAGAAAGCGACCGATCGTCTTCGGAACTTGAAGCAATTCAATGTGAACTAAAATATTACTTTTTCAAAATTCTCACTCAAAGAAAATCCTAAAAGTTGGCAGCACTGTGACTATACTCTGGCAACAGCTTGTCAATACCACTGACGTGAACCAATCAAAAGGTTTGGTTTTGAATTTCGCGCAAAGCTACACGAAGGCTCTCTGAGCTAGCCGTCCCTAATTAAAAATTTAAAGACTAGAGGTAAGGCAGGTGCCCATCAACACCCACCGCCAACTCTTGGGCTACTCTTTTACCAACGAATTGACTGTCACATTATAATGCCCTCACAGCTGAAAGGGCGAGCATGTTTGGGGGGACGGGGATTCGAACCACTTGGCCATGCTAGGTCCCCAATCAAAAGGATACAGATTCATATCACATTCGTCACTTAACAGACTGAATGTGTCTCAATTAGCTTGGCACGATTTATTATTATTTACAAAACATATAAAAACTAGTCATTTGTTCCAAGGTTTCTACATGAATATTGTTATATACTAAGGAATCAAGTTAACGTTTTAATGTATCGTGTTTTAATTATTTGTTAAAGTTTAATTCTTCGAAAAGCCCTTTTTAATATATATATTTTTGGGCTACAATTAAAACATTTACAAAATCTAATGTTTATTCATTCTTTATTTCTTTTCCAAAGAGGTATCATAACCAAAACCTCAAGATCATGTATTATCACAGCTACGTAACTAAATCAAACTCGATGGTTGCAAACTGATCAGGATTGTACATTCATTGATGTCTAAAGAACTTTGTTAACTAAACGTTTGTTTGCTTCTTGTATACATTGTTTTATATATTCCACGCATGAGTCAAGTAGTCGGTGGTTATTTATTTGCAGAAAATGTCAACTCCAGTTGTATTCAATTTCAGCAAGGACCTAATCCGGGTAGTGATGTCCACACTGTTACATGTCTGACAGCCGTTATCTGACACACAAAACAAATTCATATCTCGAGCAGCATGTGATAAATCTCTATAATCATCACTCTTTGTTGAAAAAAAATGTTATATTTTAATATTTTCACATTTTAACAAAGAATTTTTTTTTGTAATTTTTAGTAGATACATATGGGAATAATAAATCCAAAACAAACTTTTTTTTTGAGATAAGAATATTTAAAACTGATTGTTTGATTTAAAAAAAAAAAGTTATATACTTAAAAGCAATGGGTAAATCAATTCTAGTTTCAATTTCATTGTAAATTATTTGAAAGCATAGACTGTTTTTGAAAATTGCTGATAATTTGGACTATGTTAGGCCTAGTGGTTAATATGCCAGTGCATATCAGAGGGTCCCAGATTTAAATCGTGATGCCCCTAAAAATGAACTGTTCTTTCAGGTATGGGCTCATTATTAATCAAAGTGGTGACCAATCCTATTATTTAGTTCTTGGGACAGCATGTGCTGCTGACTGGTTTCCCTCCCTCTGGTCAGTAGTTCAAATTAGAAATGGCTATAAATGGTTGCAAATAATGTGCCACTTAAAACAATCACAAAGTACAAAATCAGTTATCAAAATCTGTTAGTAATGATATAAATGTAATTATTTTCAAAAGTTAATAACAATAATGTGGGAGCTACAGTCCCACATTTGTAAGATTGTGGAGGGATCAATGTAGATAAAGAAAATTACAAAAGATGAGCATCTTTCTGATGATATATAGCATTGAAATGAGAAAACTAAGAGTGTGTCAGCCCCACTAGGGGCCAAACCTAATAAATAAAGCATGTATGAGTAGGGCGGCTAGAGCAATAAGTCAAGCTGTACAGTATTGGAGAAAATACTTACTTTAAATACTTATCAGAATAAGCAGATGCAAAGATGAATAATTCCAGACCTACATCCTGAAGAGCACACAAGATGCAGCCGGCTGGTATTGGTCTGGTTCTAAGTGTATGAAGTAACCTGTACTACACTTCTAGGTAAAAACCTCAGCCCTTCTACCAATCAACTTTATCTTATACCAGTGGGATTACACTGACCCAAAATATAACTCTCCATACCAACCTCCACAATAGTTTGGGGATGGAAAGCAAGGGATTGAATTACTCTACCAGTAGGAAAATGGAGCATAATTTGAAAAGGGTAGAACAACAGAGAGGTACATGGAACAAACAGGAACTTTCTGCATAATGTCTCACAATGATAGATTATGCAATGGGTTACCATGAATAGGAACAGATGGCACTAGCCAAATGTAAAGGCAGAATCACACCTGATGCTGTCATTGTTGTTTTTTCTCCTGAAGTGCAGCCTGGAATATATATTGCCTAGGCAGGCTTGTAGAAAATCACATCTTAAGAGTAGGCACTTGGCAGGGGCATCTAGGCTTAACACTTTGTTATTTCTTACTTGATGTGGAATTTGAGGGGAGAGGAATGCCAAGGGTTATGTGGGATTGAGTGAGTCCCCATGAAAGTGAGAAATGATAAGATACAAGGAGAGGCCACTAAAAGGATATATATGGGTGCATATGAGAGGAAAAAGAGACTCAAGAAAAGTCAGAATCTCCAAAAAAGACAGAACCTCTAATCAAGGAAGAGAAGGAGGCATGAAAGTTTTGGTAACCTGAAACTCCTTGTCTGAAGACTTAAAGGAGTAGACTGAACCTGACCTGCAAACAAATTTAAAAGACTCCATTAAAATATAATGACTGATAATAATATAAGGTACTGTATTACTGTTTTGGCACAAACTACACAACATGCCACCTGCATTCCAGCCACCAAGCGAAAACAAACTCCAGACTATAGCATTGTAAATCTGTAAACTAACTGTTGACTCAACATTGAACTTATGTAAGTAAATCAAGTACTGGATGGAGTAAGATGGACTTGAGAAGCTTGACCAGTCAAACCAAATAAGATGACTCCTGAAGAAGGGAAGTCACAGCCACAGATGCTTCTTTTGGTAGACTAAAATCAGCCAGATGTTCAAACTGTACAGGAAAAGTAGGCCCAACAAAAACACAATCCATCCAAGTGCTCTCAGGATCTGAATGAAAACATATGGGGCTGCAGACAACCTGAGTGGAAGGGACTGTAACTTAAAAATTCAACCACAGTGAATGAATCAGAGGAAAATACAAGTGGTCAACAAATCAGGGTGTAAAGCAATGCAACTGAAACACTGACCCTAGTCATCCACAGTAAGGGAGAGAAAAATTGTCAATGTTGATTTGAAGGATGTCAAAAACTTGGTTTGAGGATGACAGAACAATAAGGTCACCAATCACTTGTCCAAAGAGGATGACAAAATAACAAAGATAAAACCATAGACTGAGGTTGAGAACCTGGTACACAGCATTCATAACCTGGAGAAAAGGCACAGACTTCTGCAGGTGTCAAAGAAGCAAAGGAACTGAGGGGCTAGAAAGAGGATGTTAAGTGTGGAAAGACAGGGAAAACCTATGAGAAAGCACCTGTATGACATGAAGTTATTCTGCAAAGGAAGTCTACAGGTACATAAAGTGAGAGAGAGCCAAGCTCCCACAAGATCAATGCCAAAAAAGTGATTCCAGAAACAAGTTCAATTCTTCATAATCCACTATGCCCAGCCCTCCAAGAGAGGAGGGGGCATCAGAAAGTACTGAAATGATGAGGAGCAGGACAGGTGATGGCTGTATGAGAATCTCCTGAACAAGAAATCTGTAGGAATCCCCTGGATTGACCAAAGAGGAAAACCAAAGTGAGTAGAGAATACTGCCGATGAACCGACTCAGATGAAGTTTCCAACAGATGAGAAACTAAAAAAAAACCTCATTATGTAGGAAGGGTGCCATACAGAAGTCCTCAAAATAAAACATATGGAAGCAGCTCCAGAAAGTGAGATGTCCTGAACATGCAAATTCAGGAAAAAGATAAACCAAGTGAATTGGGACACTGTAGAAAATTTTAGAAATTGAGGCCAAGATGGAGAACAGGTGATGGCAACTCTTTCCCCAGCAAAGCTGTCGAGGATGTAATGTAATGCCTTTGAAAGAATGTAAAGTGTGGTCAGACAGAAGAAAAGCTGAGCAAAAGCAAGATTAAGAGAAGCAGGATGAGAGCAAATGAGAAACAAAGAATGAAAAGTAGAATATTCCAAAGCTGGAAGAAGAGATTCAAGGGCTGGTCTAGGGATGAGATTTCTAGGTCTGGGAGGACAATGCAGCTGGAATTCAAAACAATTTTGATGCAAAAAATAGTGGAATAAACATGAATATATGGAGAGGGAGGAAAGAGATGAAAGTCAAAAGAAGGAGGCTCGTGTAACAAGTTAGTCCAAGATTCAGCAAAAAAATACTTGGAGAAAGAGGGAAAATGTCAACTCAGTTCAGGAATTCTAGATCCAAGATTAGAATGGAACCAACCATCTGTTTCACAATGGTGGTAACATCGTTGACCATCAGAGTGGCTTCATTCACCAATAAAAACAGTAACAGACAACTCCTGTCATGGACTGTCAGGGCCTCAAGATGAGTCAGAAATGTGAATACATGAAAGCATAGTCTATTTGCTCCTCAAAATTGTGTAACTTTTGCAAACTGAAAAAAATATCATCATCTACAGATAAAACCCTTAATGTAATAAAAAAATGTTTTTGATTATAATTAAACTAATTATAGAATGAAAAAAATTGTTCTAAAGGTTTGCTTAAAATATATATATGCATTTATGATTTCTAACAAATCTGTAATTAATAATAACATTCCTCCGTCTGATTTAGCTCACACAACAGTTCATGAAGTACAATTGTTTTTTGGCTACATAACACCACCATTTATTTGTATCTCGTTACTACTACACAAAACAAGACTTCGATTTGACTACTTCACTGTATATTGTTAGTGACACATAAACAAATAAAAAGTGATTACCAAACATGAAGTTTATTAAATTTCTAGAATGTTTACATTTCACAGCTCACTCGAGAGTAAACAGTACACAAGATTCCTACGTGTTTGAGAACTTGAAAACTACATTCTATGAACTTCCTTTCTTTTTGAATTAATCTTCCTAATAAACAAACTCATCTAGTTAAAGAAAAACCAACGAGAGCCATGTTTGGCAGGTTCTCGAGGAAAATCATCAGGTAGGCTTGGTATTTGATTTGGATACTTGGGTAGGGTCTCGGGTTCTGGCTTAGGTCGCTGAGTCTTGTGAACTCGTGGTCGACTGAAATATCCAAGTTCTGGCCTATCCAAACCCATTTTGTCCATCATGCAGTTATCCAAAGCAGCTTGAGTCTTTCTGCAACTAAGTTACATTTACTTTTATAAGACAAACACTGAAAGAAATAATTATTAATATTTAGTACCTTTGGTTAAACATTTCAACATGCTTTTCCTATACTTATAAGGAACTTGTACATACAGTTTGGATATTTTACTAAATGCCAGAAATAAATACTGTTGTACGATAAACACCTACTACTAATTCAACACATTAACTAAATTAAATATTTATTAAATCCTACAGTGCAAACAAGATAGTAGAGATGGCATTTGTATCATCCCTATATGATAGCACAGACACACAGTGTGTTAGAATGTTAACAGACATAAATAGGATTAATTAAGCTCAGTTGTGATTGAATAATTATATATATATATTGCTATATGCTATATCTTGCCTGTGATATTATGTATGAATAATGCAATTGCCATCCCCACTGTCTTGTTTGCATTCTTTATGAAAGGTTGATATTAGCCATCCCTACATTTACTTCCTTTTTTGAAAAGTTTTTCTTTACTTGTTTTTGTTAATGCAGTGTTTCAATAGACATATGAAGGTTGTATTTATAACCAAGTTCTAAATGCAATGAGGTTACAACTGTAAAAATTATTGTTTATCTATTATTTGCTAGTAATTCCTGTTTCATCCTGTACTTCAACTTTTTAAAGGAACACCAACTTTCTCTAAGAAAGCTAACTTCAAGGGGTAATGATAACATCGTTTACACTAGAATTATGATTTTTCTTTAATTACTACTAGTTAATAATTCTTATAAAAGCAGATACTCAGTTTGAAACTATGTCACCTCAGTAAATTTGTTTGACACCACTGTTTTGGTTTTTGAGTTATCATGTAATAAAAAAGAAGAAATTCAAACTTTTTGCTATGATATTTACAGACATTCCCAGAACTTGTTACTCAGCCATTACATAGATACTGTTATAAAAGGAAACACTGTATAGTATTGTAAAATTCTGATGACCTATAGAGGAGATATGTTGAATATCATTTCGATGAACAATCCAAGCCATCCCTATATCAGCAGTGCTACTGCCTATCTGATAAGCATTGCATTATCAATCAATTATGTAATATTTTTGAAAATAAAGTAAAAAATACAATTAATTTCAACTTTACATTACAATCTGTACTAATACAAAGATATATGTAGCTTCATTAGAAGGTATTTATTTGATTTTGTTGTTGTTTTTAGAGCAAAGCCACAAGATCAAACCCCAGATCTTAGCATTATAAGTCCATAGACTTACCACTGTCCCACCAAAGGACAGAATATACTCATGTGTACACTTTTAGAGACAGCAATAAAGTAGATGTAATGATAATTATACAAATTTGAGATGTTTTCATTAAAGTATATATATATATATATCAATCTGTTTTGTTTTAAAGTAATTACACATTTCTAATTCATAAAATGTATAATTGCTTTAAAACAAAAATGTGCAAAAATGGTAACACCAGTGTTAATTGTAAAATAAGTTACACTTATGAATTGTAAGAACAAGTATACCTAAAACAAGTTAATAGAACAGAGATTACTATATACTCCTCCTAGATTTTGCAATTAATACAAACAGCATTAACACATACCTACCACCCAGAAATAATAAGTCACAGAAGAACTAGTTGTTCCAACACTTGGTTTAATATAATAAATGAGAAACTTACCAACCTACATATTTTTTGCAAAATAGTGATTCTACCACAGGAAATAGTTTATATTACAGTAGCCCCAACAGTGAACATAAATATGCAGACATTTGAAAACATCATCCTTAATTTGGTGAATATAAAAGTCAAGATACGTTGACAATATTTCCACTGTTGTTCAAGAAAATCAAATGGAAGATTTTCCATTCTTTCTCAATAGCATTAGAATCATGAATTATACTCTCTATCTAAGAAGGAATGAAACAGAAACATCAGTTTTTTAAATAAACAAAAATAAATGACTCTTATCATTTGATGTCTTTTCCAAACCAACACACATTCCGATACCTTCATGCATCTTCCCACCACATAACCCATAAAGAAAAAAAGCACAAGCTGAAACGGAAATGAGCTTAAAACTGAAAAAATTGGGTATTTTACTCAGTTCATCCATAAATGCACAGAAAAAGTCAAGACTAAGAATAAAAATTCAGAAAATCCCATAAATTTGTATGTATATCATACGTAAAAGTAACCTCAGAACAGGTTTCTTGAATATTTATATGATTTTACATCAAAACATCTTACAGAGCAAATAAAAATTTTAGACTAATGCTGGTATACCCCAAAAAACTCCTTTCCACCTTTATCAATGGGTGGGGGTCTATAGAGGTGCCATTAACATGCAGGAAATTCTACGCAAGTGAAAATGGGATAAGTGTAACTATTCAGATAAAATAACATATTAAAGGAATAAAAATGTAGATCCATTACACAGCACCATCAATGAATATTATCTAGAATATGGCTTCCATCAACTGGACACTACAAAGGAAGAACATTTCTAAAACATAAAAACAAGAAGGATGCCTTACAATTTATACTTCATTGAAGACCCTCATTAACAGAGACAAAAAGTATGGAAACCAATCTTAAGTAAGTTTAAAAAATAATACTGACAGTGGGAAACAGCATAATTTAGACATCTGTTATCTTCATATGTATATATTTTACAAAATTATAACCATCATAATCTTTCATTCTTTTTCAATCCCTCATAATTACTCTGTCATATGAATCAAACTTTACTTAATAGTTTTCTCAAAGAAATTACTATATATATATATATATATATATATATATACACACACACATGTTTGTGTAACATTACACCAAAGTATCTATTCTGATGTTATTGTGACTACATTGTTACAAGTTCAATCATGGAACACAAAATTCTTTATTAAAATAGATGTTATGTAATGTTCATTTTAAGCCTGGCAATGGCACCAGTAGAACAGTTGGAATGTCACTGTAACAAAAACTTATTTCTTGTCAATTACATGGATAGTCTTACTCTTCTAAAAACCTAATTTATCTTGACCATAAATATACAATTTAGAACACTAAAAGCCAGCAAAACATTGAAAATCAATGTGCCTAAAATCTGAGATACAAATCATGAAAGAAAATTATAATAAGTAAGATTTTGCTAGTTCTATATTTTTGACCAGGAAAATTACAAGATGGAATTTTTTCATTAGTATTATATATAAAAACTTGCAGATTTATTCTTTAATAAAATCAATACTGGATTTTAGAATTCTTTCCTGGCTAAATATTTCATTTACACTAACACTACTACACACACAACTACAGTTTCCTAAAACAAATTGTCACATACTATTTAAAAGCCATTTCAGGACTGCTATACTCCAGGCAATGGGCATATGCTTCAAATGGCTCTCGGCATGTTTTCTTGACTTGACGAAAAAATTCCAGTGCACAGGAGGTGACAGCTTTGCCTTCATCCAAACACTTTCGTGGATCCTTTTCTTCTCTACGGCAGAGCATGAACTCCTAAGAAAGGTCCAACAGCAATGTAGTCATATTCAAAGGTTTTCTTTAACTAATGTTGCTGTAAGTATTAGAAGCACAGACTAATACATAAGTATGACATGCACAGAATACTGTCAATTATTATCATAATTAGTGTTTGGTGTTGGAATTCTAAGTTTTAACAATATGTCATAAATATTTCATAACAGATATATTTCTTCAAAAGACACTTCGGGTTGAGGCTTCTCATTACTTGTTTAATCTTTTTTGAATACATTTTCATTTGACAGAGTAGATCTTCATAATTAAAAAACAATAAAATATAAAATTCAGTTACTTTTACTCTAATAAATTTGACAGTCATTGCTGATAAAACTACATTAGTGAGTTGAAAATAAATACAGGACTCCTTAACCTGAAAAAAGACTTACCTTAGGGAATCAAAAAGTCACCCCATACAAGATTCAAACCTGAGTTTCAGTAAGATGAAACATGTCTCTTTGGTACATACATGTCTATAAAGGTTTCAGTACCAGCTAAATGATTATTATTTATGAATTTCTGTCTTAAGATTCATCCCAATCTAACAGAATATCATGACTATGGCCTAAGTCCCTGACCTTAAAATAGTACAAAATCTAGAATCACTGTGGAATAATGAATTTTGGAATGTGGAAGAAGCTGAAAAACTGGAGTTTAAGTGATGAATGAACGAGTATTTTAAAGATCAAGGTTGGGTATAAAATAAAAATTTATGTAGTTTGAGTAAGGTGAGAGTAGAAAATGGGATCAACCTGATGGGCCAAATGGCCACATATAGTGATAGTAAAAATTGGGATAAAAAATAAGCCAAATGCCCCATTTTATCCTTAAGAAATGGAATTAGAAATAATTAACAATGTATAACTACAGAATGGAGGAAAATGTATGGTTCCCACATAAATTTAAAAAATAAAGGCACTGAAATATATATTACTGCTCATTTCTGGTGGGAATTTTAAGCTTTTGAATATGAACACTTAACATAACTACAGACAACAAGGGTCCATTAATCATTCAAGTAAAAATATAAACCCATCCTCCATGTTTATGCCAAACTTTTCTAAAAATGACTTTTATCTGAACATTTCCTAAGCAGGCAAGTCATTTTCTTGGAATTTTATCCAAAAATTCTCACATCTTTTCATAGCAATATGTTTAGAGTATATATTACAGTTTTAGTTAGAAATATCTAATTGATGTGAAAAATATTTTTTTTTTCATTTATTACAATCATTATAATTATAGGAAAACAACATTATCCTTACTAATAATATCAATAAATTTAGAGTTCTACAAACTTGTTCTACTGTTGGAAATAATAACTGTTAGAAATCCATAGGGTGGTTTGATTAATGATGTGGTATGTGTTAATACTAATTGAATGGATGTCTCTATTCATGTAAAATACTTCATTTAATCTAGTTTAAGTAGTTCTGATGCTTCAACTGGTTGTTTTAGTATATGAATGAGTGCCTTCAATAGTCAACACTGCTTTCTGTCACTTTATTCTTTCTTATGCACTTTAAACAGTGATGAAAAATGAAAAAGCTATATAATTATAACATTAGCATGTATCTTAACAATATAGCACAAGAAAAATATTTAGTTGCAAAAGCCTTCTTACAATACAAGAATATTTTTACTAATTCTCATTGGTGTACCATTTAACATTAAACTGAAAATATCTGAATAACATGCAGTGTGTGGGTGCATGTGTTAAACACAGGGGACTAAATAAGAAAGCAGATACTTGTTTTTGTCCTCTTTTACTTTTGTATAAATGCTTTACATATTTGGTAAACAATGTATAGTATATATATTTATATATATGGTTTTGTTTACTTTCTTCATATACATTAATATGCAATAACTTTCACAGTCCAAGCAGAGATCACAAATAAGTGTTATAGATTCAGGGTACTTAATGTTAATCATCTACCACTAAAATTCTTTTTAAGGAGCTCCTATAGTAATGTGTATGAAAGCAACTTTCCCAGAAATTATTATACTAAAAATGACCATAGACTAAATGTCTTCCCTTAAATCTAAAAGTAGTAGATCTATGAAAGGTGAAACTAAAGAGAACTATTAATATTATATTCATAGTTTTTTTTTTTTTTTTTTTTTTTTTTGCCTACGTACCA